GGTTCTGACTCGATGGTACCTGACAACAACAACAAAAGGTTTACAGCCTCAAAAATCCTATACAGGGTCTCTTTGAGTCAGAACAGACTCAGTGACACACAACCATCACCATCACCAAACATCTATTTAAGCCAATTCCTCAAAATCTTGTCACTGGATACATGGAGTTATTTCTGTTTTCCTGACTGAAAAACATATTGTGTAGTACCTAGTATGGGATTTTCCTCTACCACTATCTCATCTTACTAAGGCACCTACTGAACATGGTGCTACTTCCTCTTCCTCAGATCCAGTTAGCAGACTACAATCAATATGGTGATGTTCTGTGGGATGTTAAAATGATTCAAGAGCTTGCAGCAGAGAACAAGAAGTAGACTGGACCTAAGGCAAGATTATGAATGTGTACTAGGTCTTGCTGTGAAAGCAAACTACTTTTGGTGATTCTTAGAAATTATTATAAAGGTGAATACTAATTTCCATATCAATAGCAACATATGTGCTAAGGATTTATTCCCATGTTAAAAAATAAAATCTAGCCAGGTTAATTTTATAGTTTATTTGATTTTTAAAAAGTCCATGGATGAAAGCACATCTCCCTGCAAAAACTAGGAGGTACTTCCCTGAACAAAAGTAAACTGAGAGTTTTTATAGACAAGCAAAGGCCAGAGAGAGAACAAAGAAAAACAAAGCACTCTCCATATGTTTTGACATATCAAGTCATGTAAAGCAAAACATACAAAAGCCTAAACATTTAAACTTATCTTATTCAACAACTTCTGTTTAAAGACAAATCATTTTGTATTCCAGCAAAAATGTTTTTGGCATATAATTGAAGACAGAGAAGGTGAGAATTTTAAACAAGGCAGGATGGGAGATCTGAGTTGGAATCCCCCAGGCTTTTTATCTCCATTAACTGGACTGCAAACCACAAGACTTGTGGTTCAAACCCACCAGCCACTCCTCAGAGACCTTATAAAGGGTCACTATGAGTTGGAACTGACTCTACAGAACTTAACAACAACAAAGCCCAGAAAATAAGATACAAATTCAACAACGTTAAAGATATTTGCAAAACGTTCCTTAGAAACAAGCATGGTGAGACTTCATATCACATACTTTGAACATGTTATCAGGTGGGACCAGTCCCTGGAAAAGGACATCTTGCTTGGTAAAGTACAGGGTCAGCATAAAAGAGGAAGACCCCCAATGAGATGTATTGACATAGCTGCAACAATGGGCTTAAATACAACAGTTGTTAGAATGGCATAGAGCTGAGCAGTTTCATTATGATGGACAGAGGGTCTTCATCAGTAGGAATTTGGTGGCACCTAACAACAACAAAAGACACTTCATGGAAAAACATCTATATATTTGGAGTTACTTACTGATGGTTCTTGTTAGTGGCTGGTGAGTTGATTCTGATTCATGGAGTCCCACATGTGCAAAGTATTACTGCTCATAGGGTTTTCAAGACTGACCTTTCAACAGAAGATCATAAGGTACATCTTATTTTGAGATACATCTGGGTGGGTTTGAGCAGTGACACTTTTATTTAGTAGTCTTCGACATTTGTGTCACCACTCTTCATGGACTCCTAACTCCTGATTAAGTTTATAATAATCCACACACAGTCTTTTTTTCTAGTATTCATCCACCTTTTGCATAAGCCAATCAGCCCTCAAAGTCAATCATTGTTATTGACCTAGCTTTACCTTCCTTAAACATTGGAGGTTTTGGAGGTTGCTGGATGCAAAGAGAAAGCCACTCATCAGTCTGTTTGTCACACTATGGTGGTTTGTGTGTTGCTGTGATGCTGGAGGATATGCCACTGGTATTTTGAATATCAGCAGGGTCACCCATAGTAGATAGGTTTCAACTGAGCTTCCTGACTAAGACAGACTAGGAAAAAGGAGAGACAGACT